CATAACTTCTGGCTGGAAAAACCAGCGGGAACTGAGGTTCAGGGAGGCTGAGGTGGATGGAGCCTCAGGCAGCTCCTCTTCAAGGGCCCGCACACGGATTTATCAGACTCTCTCCCTCTAAGCTTAAAGGGGAGGCAGCTCGAGGGGCCCAGAGACATACAGGGAAGAACTGAGCTGTTTGGCATTGGAGCAAGGGCTGGAGAGGGGGCTTTCTCCAGGACAAACATGCTCTCAGATGCCTTTGTTCCTTTGGTGAGCCCTTCCCTGGGGCGGCAGACAGCTGCCATATCTGGGACTCCAGCAACCTGGCTCATACTGGTTGCCCTGCCCTGGTGATTCCCTGAGGCCCCGCCCTACCCAACTTTCAGGCCCACCCAAGCTGTTGCCAGTTGCTTTACCATAGGATTGGCCTGTCTTGGATCCTGCTTCGGGTTTTCCTAAATTCTTTCAAACAAGCAGCATCTGGTCTCAGCTAGCCCCATATCTCTGGTTAAGTAAAACATAGAAACAAACACAAGGAGGCAGCCATAATGAGGAGACAAAGAAACAGGTCCAAAATGAAAGAACAGAAAAATCTCCAGGAAAAGAACTAAGCGAAATGGAGATAAGCAACCTAACAGATGCTGAGTTCAAAACACTGATTATAGGGATGCTCAATGAACTTAGTGAGAACCTCAGTGAACTTAGTGAGGGCTTCAAGAGAATAAAAAAGAACCAGTCAGAAATGAAGGATGCAGTCAGAAATGAAGGAGGCACTAACTGAAATAAAAAATAATTTCCACAGATTCAATAGTAGAGTAGGTAAAGCCAAGAAGCAAACCATCAATTTGGAATATGAGGAAGCAAAAAACACCCAATCAGAACAGCAAAAAGAAAAAAGAAGCCAAAAAAATGAGGATAGTGTAAGGAGCCTCTGGGACAACTTCAAGTGTGCCAACATTCACATCTTGGGCGTGCCAGAAGGAGAAGAGAGAGAACAAGAAATCGAAAACCTATTTGAAACAATAATGGCAGAAAACTTCCCTAACTTGATGAAGGAAACAGATATACAAGTCCAGGAAGCACAGAGAGTCCCAAACAAGATAAACCCCAAGAGGCCCACACCAAACACATCATCATCAAAATGCAAAAGGTTCAAGACAAAGAGAGAATCTTAAAAGAAGCAAGAGAAAAGCAGTTAGTTACGTACAAGGGAGTTCCCATAAGACTTTCAGCTGATTTCTCAAAAGAAACTTTGCAGGCCAGAAGGGAGTGGCAAGAAATATTCAGAGTGATGAAGAGCAAGAACCTACAACCAAGATTACTCTATCCTGCAAAGCTGTCATTTAGAATTGATGGCCACATAAAGAGTTTCCCTGACAAGGAAAAGCTAAAGGAGTTCATCACCACCAAACCATTATTATATGAAATGTTGAAGGGTCTTCTTGAAGAAAAAGATAAAACATATGAACAAACAAAATGGCAACAAATACATATCTGTCGACAGTAGAATCTACAAACAGAATGAACAGGCAGAACAGAAACATTCTCATAGATACAGAGAACATTTCGTTGGTTGCCAGATGGGAGGGGGTTGGGGAATGAGTGAAAAAGGTGAAAGGATTAAGAAGTACAAATTGGTTGCTAGACTGACAAACCTCAAAGAGAAGAGGGTTGGGGGGTTGGGAAGAAATAAACCAAAGAACTTATATGCATATCCAATGGACACAGACAACAGTGTGGGAAAAGGCAGGAGGGGGGCGGGAGTGGGGAGGAGAGGGTCAATGGGGGGAAAATGAGGAACATCTGTAATACATTCAACAATAAAGATAAAAAACTTTTTTTATTAAAAATAAAAATCATGAGGCTTCCTTGAACCTTCTCTACAGAACTCAGGCCAGGGGTCACCTGGTGGACACACAGTGGGACTGTGAAGAAGGGCTTTCCTAGCTGCAGGTTTTGATTTATGAATAGGCCAATAAAATGGTGTATTTAACCTGAGCAGAACTTCATGTCTGTAATGAATTACAGTGGAGTAACACAGCACAGCATACAACAAAATAGAACATCTCAGAATGTATCACATGTACAAGGAGCACAGTTTCGTGAAGCATTTGTTCTAGAGTCATTGCAAAATGTGTTGTTATTGTGGGCCTTGGTGAATAAAGCTCAGAAGTCTCCTCTTGTGATGCATTTACTGTTGTTTCTCACACATCACTGCATTTCCCAATTCTCTACTAGAAATAAGGATTAGCTATAGATCCAGTCAAAAAATGATCAAAAGACAAACAAAACAGACAGGAAGGTTTAAACATCATTTAGGACCCTCACCAGAAGGGCACCTGCATCCACACTGGGCCCCAGGCTTGGGGAAAGAAGGCTAATTGGGGGTGTGCTCGAGGCCATGTACAGGCTGATTTCTGGAGCTGTGCAAAACCATAGTCACCCTGCATCTGAAAATCTTTATGTGTTCATGGAGGAGTGGGAGTAGGGAAGATGATCTACCCATGGAGCGAATATTTCCTGTTGTGACTGCAAAGTGTTTTCAAGTTGTCCTTTCCTGCACCTGTCTCCTTTGCTGGGTATCCAGTCAGTAGATACCATCTTCCCCAGGAGAAGAAACATGAAATCTTTCATGATTGATTTAGGGGATACTCTTCTGTATATACATGAAAAATGATGTATGCCATGACTATAAGCAGAATATTAATTTTTTTGAGAAGTGGTAGAAGAGCTTATTTGGGTGAAATTACATTCCTCAGTTTTTATTTTTTTATCTTTATTGTTGTATTACAGATGTTCCCCCTTCCTCTCCCATTGATCCCATCCTCCCCACTCCCAGTTGCAGAACTACATTAGAGTAAAAGACAATTTGTTTCTGCTGAGGCACAGGTAGAAGAGCATCCTCACTGACCTGGACAGCACTCCCCTCTCAGTGCTGTGCCACGCAGTGTGCTTCTAGTTCTGGGTGACCTCAGTGCCTGGAGGAGTTGACTCCTCACACTCTCATTCCTGGCACCCCCTCTCTTCGGTGGCTGTGATAGTCCACACTGGGCCCGGGTCTCCCTTGCCTCTATGCCAGCCCCTCTTCCACACACTCTGTGCATCTGTGTCCTCCTCTGCCTATACTATAACCAGGACCTTGCCTCTCCATCTCTGCAACCGCCCCAACTGGAGTTTGGAAAAGTGATCCCACATCTTCTACCCTGAGATCTGGGGTACAACCCAGAGCACCTGTGTCTCCTCCCATACACTCCACAATGGACTAATCCACTCCCTGACCCTGAAGATCTGACAGAGTAAAGGCAAGGTGTCCAGCCAACGCAGAAACCTGTTTCAGGATTGTTGTATATAGAGTCCATCAGGTAAAAACCGGAAATATCCCCCAGTAGAATGTCAAGTTCACATAGGCAAGGACATCTCTGTCTTGTTCCCTGATGTCTCTTCAGCACCAGGGACAGTGTTCAGTACCCAGTACAGGACTATTAGGTGTTTCTTGAATGAATGAAACCTTTGACACAGGAATTCCACTTCTAAGTATGTGTGCAAATGAACCACTCACATATATGCACAAGGTGTTTGCAGAAGGACAGAGACAAACACCAGGGAAACAACCTGTAAGTGTTTATTAACTGGCAGTGACTGATGTAGGGTAAATGAATAATGGGGGCTTGCAACACGGAACAGTGGATGAACAAGAAACAGAATAAAAAGGACATGCCCACTACACTCTGTTAGTGTAGAGAGCAGGTGGGAGATGTTCATCATCACACTTCTAGTGTGTGTGTACAAACAGAGGGAAAAACATCTAGAATTTAACTCCCAGAATCCCCCTTTGTGGTCACATCTGGGCAGGGGGAGGGTAGTACTCTTCTGTGCTGAGATAACTGACAATGCTTGTTCCCTGAGGTAAGTGCATGAAAACATAGACAGAAACTTGTATTAGGTATAGGTGTTGCTCATCAAGGAAACTCTAGCATCTAACAGAATATTTGGCACATATTAGGAAACATAATGCTGAACTTTTCACTGTTGTGAATTCTGTCATTCAAGTGCTGTGCACTTGATGGCCAGGAGTTCACATCTTTGTCTATGCTCCTGAAGGGTTGCCAGGTTCTGCTTATTATCACGAGCACTTGTCACATTCCTAAGGTGGAGGCAAGAAAGAGAAGGAAAATAAGTGTCAGTGAGCTGCCATTCCTGATCCATTGATACCTATCCCCTCATCCTGACCTGCAGGACCATGAGCACTCCCGAGTGTGCCCTACCTCATGATGTACGTGCTCCTGCCACTGCTCCTCAAAGCTCATCTCCTGCTTATATTACAGGGACTCTCACCTGTTCTGTGAGTTCCTAGGCTAGAGGAACATATGGCCTATAGTTTGGGAGCAGACCAAGGCCTGGGAATCCAGGGCATTCTGGGTTGGGACAATCCCACGCTACATAGAGCAGGGAGTCGAAAGAGCAAGGGACACTTCATTACTTAGTTGCAATGCTGCACTCCAAAGGTCTCAGCGACAGAAATGATTGGGGGAATGAGCGACCATTTGAGATACCAGTACTAAAATGAAAGTGTGTTTTGCATGGAGGCAGCACTGGAATGAAGGTTGCTTACAGAGACTGTCTTCCTCAAGGTCACTGACATCTTCATACTACAGAAGTCACTCATTTTCCTAGAGTGTTGGTGCAGACATTAGTCTCCCCCATGACAGGTGCTGTTATAGGGAAGCGTTTGTTAATGGGTTTCGGTGGATTAGGGGGTGTTGGGACCAGTTTTGTCAGATAAGAAGATGCCTCCTCCCTCAAAGTGCCCATGAGCCTTCTATATGCATTGATGTTCACATCTTCTGGCTCAAAGAGGCTGAGATGTTACACCTGCACATATACTCACCAAATGCTAGTTCGAGTTTTAGGTCTGGACCCTCCCACTGTCAGGGTTAGATTTCCAACCTCCTTACTTAACAGACATTCATTTAGACCTTCTTTCTTTTCGCATATATTGTTAAGGGCATATTTGTGTGTCAGATCTCAGCTAAGGGTCAGATATACACCCTGAGTAAGATAATGTTCCCAGATAATCACAGATGGAATTACATGAGCACTTTTCATGTTGTCCACCTAGATTTCACTTAATGTCTTCAAACATTGTAACAACTGCGATTATTTATTTCCATTTTATTGACTAGGACTCTAGAGGTCAGAAAATTTGGATGAGTTACCCCAAACAACAGGGTGTTTGTGCGGATGACATTCATTCTATGACTATGGAAGTCACAATATCAGGTCTGAGTTGGAGATGATCTACTTCCTAAGTCCTTCCTGGACCCAGGCCTATCCAGGATCCAACCCCCACTCCAGGGGAGCCAGAGGAGTTGTTCCCAGATGGTTTCCCCTTACCTGATGACTTCTGGATCTGCTGACCAGAGGCTCTCGCATTTCCTGAGGGGCACAGCTGTTTCTGAGCCAGCTCTGAGTCACGGGTTACTGGTAGTAACTTCAAATCATTTTCTCCCTTTGCGATATTCTTGGCCATCACCTTTTGAATATAAAGTTCACACACACACACACACACACACAAACAGTATTGTTGGCTTTTCTCTAGTGCTTTAGACTTAGTGTAGTATCTTAGCTCACGTTCAGTGCCATAACTAATGTTCTTCAGAACTCTGGGAGATCATAACATGACCAGTACTTCAATTATGATGAACCTGGGAGGTTAGAAGGAAAAGGAATGGCTTAAATGAGGGTGGTTAGAGGACTAGAACACTCATCTTCACCCTATTTCCAGACGGACTCTGGCAAACAGCAGAAGTGTCCATGTAAGTGGGAATGTGGTACATAGAAGATTTGTGGAACAATAGCGTTCTAAGGATCCATGAGGTCTGTGAAAGCAATGAAGGGCTTCTATCAAATACAGGTGAAGGCATACATGAGAGTAGGCACCTGTGGAAGAGTTAATGTAAAAGTATAGAGGGAGAAAGCACAGCTGGAAAATGGTGTGGGGAGGTGAATACAGGGAAGGGGAATGAAATAAGCGGTACACAGAAATTCAGGTAGACAGCCAAGAAAGCTGTGCCAGAGTGACATACTGTCCTAACCTGGCCCCATTATGTTTCGTGAAATTAGGGAGGTGGTTCCCACATCAACTTGGCTCCTGTCAGAGCATGCTGTGTCATGACCACTCTTACCATATTCATTTCCATGGAGAGATACAGGCTCTGTGATCCTTCACATTTGGGAGATACTCACCTTCGGGTGTTTTCTCAGTTGCTTATTGGAAGCCTCCTGAAGATTTTCATCTAAAAAGAAGGTGATCAAGCAGAATAGTCCATTGTTGGTAAAATTTCTCAAACTCTAGAGAGACTCCCGAAGTATCAGGGAATTCTGCAGCAGACCTTATGAATCCACTCACCATCAAGGGGTTATATTGGGACTGGCTTCTGAATTATCTTTACTATTGCTTGTATGTTTATTCATAGGATTAATTCATCTTTCTTTCTGGTGGTTTAGAAACTTGAACTAAACTTCATTATTGCTTCATCCTATTCCATGACATATTTCTTACCTTTATCCCCAAAGTATTAAATTAGTTTGTTGGGAACTTGAACTGTGTCCACTTAAACATGTGTGGCAACTAGAAATCATTGTTGACTTAAAATGGGTGAATTTTATAGTCTGTTGTTTATACCTCAGTGAAGTTAAAGTGTGTGATGAGGCAGGGATGGTTTAGTACAGCAGTTCTGGAAGGTGTCCAGGATAAAGCCATTCCTCGAATGTCAAAATCTTTGCATTGGATTTTCAGCACCCTGACACTGACTTTGGGAGCTTGTGGAATATGGCCTGTGGAGCTAGGGTCATAGGTCTGTTGGAGACAGTTGAGTACTCTGACCCTATCTTCTTGTAATTATACTGTCAGAAGAGGATAGCAAGTGAACACATCTGTCTCCTTTATAGTGAGTAAACACACTGCTCCCGCGCACAGAGATTTCTTGAATCTGTGGCTTCTTTTACCCCATGTAGCCCCTGCTCACTGTCAACTAGGAAAGCTCAGTGCGAGTGTGGCATTGTGCTCTCAAACCTTCTCCCAAAGTCAATATATAGAATCAAGTTTAGTTAGCAATGAGAAGACCATTCTGTTTGGTAAAGCTCAGGAAAATACGTGAATGTCATTACAAAATAACAGAATCTATTTCTGTCTTAAGATGTTTACCTTAAGCTACCTATGTGTTATTCTAAAAGTGACTCTGAATGTTTTCAGAGGATTTGGACTCTAATCAAACTTATTTTTAAGTTTTTATCTGGTTTGTGAAGGTGTTCAACAAGAACAATAAAGCCATTAAATAAAGAAATGTTTCAACCTCCAGAAAATTATGGAGGACATTCGGAGAAATATGTGCACATCTCCCTCTGGATCTAGTCAGATCTGAATATTATTGGACTTCTGCTTCAGATCGCTCTGAGATCGTTTACTCAAAATATAACAAAACACTCTGCACAAGTCACAGCTGACTCCATCCTTGCAGCCCTCACTGATCTCTGCCGTCCCTCCTTCTCCTCTTTTCCACTCCTGAATTTATTGAGCTTAATTTTCATTCAGATTTTGAAACATTTACCATTGATTAATTATCTGCAAAACATATATTGTTATTTTATATGTTTTAGGATTCTATATGAATGGCTACTGAGTGCACTTAAGCTTCTGCATGCAACTTTCTTTACACAGCAGTGATCCGTTTAGGAAAGAAATGCCTGAGAATCTTTCCTGAGCAGATGGACTCCAAAAGAGTAGAGCTTTAGGAGAACTTTCTGAGCCCTTCCTCTCACTCACCCTGATTTTCGGTGTTTTGATCTTCATCTGAATCATCATCAGGAGATTTTGTGTTCCAATTCTTAGGACGCATGAAACCTGAAAGGATGGGGATGTAACCTTGGAGAAGCCAAATATTTGTTCCTTAAGAGACAACCTGAAAGGAGGGTGGATGCTTGGATGCCGCAGGGACAGTAAAGGTCACCATCTGGGGATATCTGAACTAAGGCCAGAAGGAGTAAACCGTGCAGGATCCAGGTGTGAGCATCCTGTGGGCAATGCTGCACCTCAGCCCTGTTCAGAATACTCTAGAGCAGAAGGTTCGGAAGCTGTCCCAGGATTTCTCCCCGCACAAAAGGAAAATGGGACACTTGCTGCAGCCTAAGACACAGCCAGAGCATGTACAGCGAAAGTGGGATGGCCTTGTGTTCCCAGGCCTGTCTGGACCCAGAACCTCCTGTTACCTAGACGAATCATGGTGTCATACTTTCTCTTCATACACACATAGGTTTTTTTCTCTGAGTTTTTCAGTGCTGCCCAGTCTTCCACTGAGGCATTTTTGCAAATATCCTTGAATGCCTAGAAAAAAGGAAGAATAAATCCTGGAGCGTTTGAGGTAAAAACATTTGATTTTTGACTTGTCCTCTTTCTCCCCTGTTGAACCTCAGTGTTGAACCTGTAAACTGGACCTAACAATTCTTCTTGGGTGGTGTCACAGCTAACTGAGAGAACAAGCATGACATTCCTTAGCCTCTCCCCTGGCACGCAGCAGATGCTTCATGCTGGTGGTGGGCTCTTCTCTCACCTTCCAGAATGGACTGAGAGTCACCAAATGCAGTGCAAGGTCACAGACCTTGTTGTCTCCAGGGATGCTAGGAGACTTCTGAGTGAGGGTCAGAAGCTCCCAAGGTTGTGGATCTCTCCACTGATACTGTGCTGTCTGTCCTCACTACCTCTGACCAGAAATGTAGTCAACTTACCCTGTGCCCTGGTCACTTCTCACTCCCTCTCCCAATCTCCTCACCTTGTACTTCTCCCCTGAACTCTGGAACTCCTCCATGGGGTTGTTTTCCAAGGAGCTGCCTCTGTAACGGCTCTTGGAGTGGTGTGATCGTGAACGGACACAAACTGTGTCTCTCAGGTTGCAAAGTTAAAGGTCCTGTGCGGAAGAAGCCCTGAGACAAGGTAAAACTCAGTGTCACCTCAATTAAGATTCTGCTTTTGCTACAATGAGGTATCACCTGACACCTGCTGATTTACCATCAATAAATCAACAAAGAACAAGTGTTGGAGAGGATGTGAAGTGATGGAACCCTAGTGCACAGCTGGTGGGAATGCACACTGGTGCAGCCACTGTGGAAAGCAGTATGGATTTTCCTGAAAAAACAAAATATGAATCTTCCATTTCACCCAGCGATCCTACTTCTGGGAATATAGCCTAAGAATCTCCAAACAACAATCAAAAATAATATATGCACCCCTATGTTCATAGCAGCGTTATTTACAATAGCCAAGATGTGGAAACAGCCCAAGTGTCCATCGGTAGATGAGTAGATAAAAAAGCTGTGGTACATTTATGCAATGTAATACTATGCAGCTGTAAATAAAAAGGAACTCTTACCCTTTGTAACAGCATGAATGGACCTGGAGATTATTATGCTAAGTGAAATAAGCCAGTCAGGGAAAGATAAATATCACCTGATGTCACTTATATGTGGAATCTAAGGACCAAATAAAGTGACAAAAAAAAAAATAGATCCACAGACATGGAACAGACTGACAGATGTCAGAAGGATGGTGAGAAGGAGGGTGGGAAGAGGGTAACCAAAGAACTTATATACATATAAGTATAGCCCATAGACCCAGACAATAGACAGATGAAGGCCTGAGAGGGTGCGAGATAGGTGGAAGGGGGCAAATTGGGGAAAATGGGGATTATCTGTATTACTCTCAACAATAAAATAAATTTTAAAAATCACACTGACAGAAATCAGAGAGGATGGAGATGGGGGGACTGAAAGAGATTAGTCAAAAAACATATATGCATAGCACATGGACATAAAAACAATGCGGTAAAGGCATGGGGGCATAGGAGCTTGATGGCGGGGCCATAAGGGAATGGAAATGAGGGACATCTATAATAGTGCTAATAATCAAAGAAATATTCTGCTTTTCTCCATCCTTAGCTTATTTGTCCCTGAGAGAGGACATGGGGGTAGTCAGAAGAGGAAAGGGGCTGGAGGTCTCTGAAAGAGGTATTGATTAGGGAGACTGGTTTTCTGTAGGCATGGTCAAAGGAGCTTTGAGCCTTTGAGGGGGTTTGGTTACTGTTGTTAGTAGTTTGCCTGGAGTTTGGCTTATCATGAAGGAATGGTATAAAGATCTTTGTCAGGGAAGTAGTAAAATGAGGGTGCTGTCATTGAGGGGGTGTTTTGAATCAAAAAGGTGGAGGGTGGATAAGTTCCATAAATCACATGGTTTGCATATCAAGACAGAGGGATGTGGGTTTTTTTTTGTTGTTGTTGTTGATAATAAATGAAGATTGCTAATTTGTGTGGATTTGGAGGCTAATTCTAGGTCTTTTGGATATTTTTAGTGTAAAGAGATCTGGAATCTCCAAGACTATGGGACCAGTCATTACCCAGGCTGAGATATGCAGGGGGCTTCAATGCATCAATCCTCTGCTCCCCAAAATGAGGGCATTAGGAAAGTCTCAAAGAGAGATATTTCTGGGTTTCCTAGGCCATGAATATGGTTGCCTTAAGCCAAGTACCCATCAACAGATGAGTGGATAAAAAAGCAGTGGTACCTATATGCTATGGAATATTACTTGGCCATAGCATAAAATTAATTTTACCATTTGAGACAGCATAGATGGACTTAGAAGGTATCATGCTAAGTGAAATAAGTCAGAGAAAGACAAGTACCATGCAATTTCACTGATATGTGAAATCTGAAGAACAATATAAATGAACAAATAAAATAGAAACATACCAATAGACACAGAGCACAAACTGATGGTTGCCAGAGGTGGGGGGATTGAGGGATTGGGGAACTGGGTGAAAATGCTGAAGGGATTAAGAAGTACAAATTGGGCCCAGCTGGTGTGGCTCAGTGGCTGAGCGTCGACCCATGCACCAAGAGGTCTCCGGTTCAATTCCAGGTCAGGGCACATGCCCAGGTTGCGGGCCAAATTCCCGGTCAGGGGTATGCAGGAGGTGGCCGGCCAATCAATGTTCTCTCTCATCAATGTTTCCATCTCTCTCTCTCCCTCTCCCTTCCTCTCTCTAAAAGCAATAAAGGAGCCCTGGCCGGTTTGGCTCAGCGGTTAGGGCATGGGCCTGCGGTCCAGAGAGACCCAGGTTTGGTTCCTGCTAAGGGCACGTACCTCGGCTGCAGTTTGTTCCCGGCCCTGGCTGGGTCGAGTGGGTGGCAACCACTCGATGTGTCCCTTTCACATCAATGTTTCTCTCTCTCTTTTCCTCCCACTCTATCTCAACAAAAAATGGAAAAATGTCCTCGGGTGAGGATAAAAAAACAAAAACAAAAACAATAAAGTAAAACAAATGAAAAAAAAAAGAAGTACAAATTGGTAGTTACAATACAGTCACGGGGATGTAAAGTACAGCATAGGGAGTGTAGTCAATAACTATGTAGGGTGCCAGTTGGGTATAGACAATCCTGGGAGAAACACTTTGTAAAGTATCTGATGAATCACTATCCTGTGCACTTGAAACTAATACAAAATAATAGTAAATAAAGACTGTAATTGAGCCCTGCCTGGTTTGACTCAGTGGTTAGAGCGTCAGCCCCGGGACCAAAGAGTCCTGGGTTTCATTCGGCCAAGGGCACATACCTTGGTTGCAGCTAGTCCCGGCCCTGGATGGGGTCCTGGGTGAGGTGTCCGGTGGATGTGTCTCTCATGTCAATGATTCTCTCTCTCACTCTCCCCCTCCCACTCTATCTTAAGATAAAGGGAAAAATTATCCTCGGGTGAGGATTAAAAAAAGAAAAAGACTGTAACTGAAAGGATTATGAAATTATTTAAAAAACGGGAATATTGATGCTTTATCCCAGAGGAGATAAAAAAAGGGAGTCCCTTAGACTGAGGCCATTGTTTCTGGTTGAGGAAATCTGGGAGCGATCGACTAATTTGGGGGTTTCTCTGGCCCAGGAGGTTTGGGTTCCCTACGAGCAATTAGGGGGTCTCACAGACGACGACAGTCTTAGTTTCAACTGCCCCAAAAGGATCTCCCGAAAGACTTTCAATTGTCCCTCAGTCCCAGGGTCTTGCGGATTACTGGGGGCACGGCAAAGACCCGACCGCCTGAGCAATGTGCAGAGCTCCCCGCGTTTCTCCGGGACCCCCCTGATCTGTCCAGCTCTGAGCCTCAGAGAGAAGCCACCTCAGAAGTGAAGCGGCTGTGAGGGCTCGATCGCCGCCGAGGAAAAATCGCGCGATTCAGTGCCCCGAGGCCCCCGACTAACCTGGAGTCAGGGATCTGCTCAGGCTATTGGAGGTCAGGACACCAGAGTGGGAACCCAGGCGGAGAGGGGCCGATCAGTCCGGGCTCCAGAGCCTGGACCGCAGTTTCAAAATGGTGGAGACTGGGATTTCCCCCTTGGAGCCAGGCCGCCTTCCGCTGCCGCGATTGGCCACTTCGGGTCCGCGGGGTCACCAGCACGCATGCGCAGAGGTTCCCTCGCATTCCGCCTGCGCCCTCCATCCCTCTGCTCTGCGCATGCTGTTTCGGGCTTTGTGTTCCTTATTTTGTTTTATTAATTAAAAAATGTAAATGTCTGTTGTTAGGGTTTCTTTTTAATCCTCACCCGAGGTTATGCTTATTGAACTTTAGAGAGAGAGGGAGGGAGAGAGAGAAACTTCAATGTGACGGGGAGTCCTCGATCGGTGTCCTTCCTAACGAGCCCAGAGCAGGAATCACGCCGCAACCCAGGTCTGCTTGCTGACCGGGATGTGAACCTGCAAACTCTTTGGTGTACGGGACACTGCTCCAACCTACTGAGCACCCCAGCTAGGGCTGTTGTTTAGTTGTAATAAATGGCGGGTAGGAGGCCGGCTACCTTCTCAACTGCTTCCCATTGTAACTGAACAAGAGGGTTCGGCTGCCTGCCGCAATGAAAGTAAAAGTCAAAGACAGGTTGTGTTACAAACAGAAAGAGATTTTATTCAGGTGCTGTGAGTCCTGGGAGAATGCTGGGCTCCCCTCTCACAGACCAGTTCTCTTTCCTGCTGAACCCAGTGCCTCTTACAAGGACAGGGAAGGTAGGCCTTTCCCCCTCTCTATCCAATTATCGTGAGAGTTGTTTCCTTTGGGACCTGTTCATTCACTTTTCCAGCTTTCAGCAAACCGGGGTTCTGTCCATTCACCTTTCTGGCTTTCATGCTTAGGAAAAAGCCAACCACTGCCCCATCTTGACCAATAGGGGAGACTCCCTGGAGATCCCTGACTGTCTGCAGAACCCACATCAATCTCCAACTTCCTCAAAAAGGGAACCTTTCCTACATCCTCCTAGGACTCCTATAGTAAGCGAAAAGTTTATACTGTGTGTTTTAAAAATCAGCATTTTATATGTGTTATTTTTCTAAAAGACTCAGAAACCAGAAACATTTTATATATATAACACTACTATTAAATTGAGTATGTATATGAATAGCGTTTGCTGTGTTTCTTAGCAGGCTCAGCAGGCACCTTTCTGGGAAATCTCTAGTTTTCTGGAACATTCTGATTCTCAGCGCCTCCAACCTCCTCATTACTCGTGGACATTTTTTCATGTACAACCCTCATCTGTCTATATTACCCTCAGAATGACAGAGAGCTCCCTGAGGACAGGGACACAGTTATGACCCTTGTTCACAGCAAACAACGTTTTATAGGCATTATGCCATTTAATTTTCACAGCTACCAACTGGAAGGTCAGCAGAAGGAGGAACATACGAGGGTTCAGGCAAGAGAACTTTATTGGGGAGTCACCTGCCGTGCTGACTCCTAAGGCAGGGTCAGCGATGGTATCTCTAACAGGCAGAGTTATATAGGTGAT